TTGAGCCGCACTATCATTTGAAAACATCCCATAATCTACTTAAGTAACTTTCTAGTAATACAATTCTTCAGACTTCCCCCTCTCCTTTTTGTGGATGTAGACATGCGGACAGACATTTTTATATACATGTGTATATATCCACATGCGCACACTCCTTTACAGCTTAGTTTCAGGAAAGAATCCAGAAAAGTCTTTGTTGTGGTTCAATTTGAAAGTAGTGAAAAAAACATTCATATATTCTTTTCATCTTTTTGCAACTAGTTTTATTGTATATTATTAAGCACCCTATACATTTTAATTTAATTATCAATGAATTAATACTCAAATAGTTAGCATTTATGGAGTTATCTCGTGGAATAATTACAGAACTAAAATGTGTGTCTAAACCCTTAATCAAAAAAGCCATCATCTTGCCCACCCAAATGGCTGTTTGAATCTTAATATTGCATTTTTCACATTCTTCATTGAGCATTATGGTGTCACCTACAATTATGACTTAATTCATAGAAAACAAAATTGTTCTTGGAGAAAAAACTAGTCCTCTTCTTGTTCTGTCTTGACTAGTGTTACTTTGATTGAATATTTTTATAAGTAACACAAGCCATTGACAAGGAAAAAAAGGTGGGTTTCCTTTTTTCACCCTAACAGTTTTTTTACCATTTAGAAAAAAACTTTTTTTAGGTAGTGGCAATAACCCATAAATATGGTTTATTAATGGACCACTCTTGAAGAACAATACTTTCAGGTAAGCTATTTTTATATCTTAATATTTTTATACTATGTGATTAACAGTGGAATATTTTATGCAGTGGACATATGATCTTAATTCATTCGATCTTAATTCTGCTGCTCTTTATTGGGCTGTCTCTATAGCCACTGCTTCAAGAATGGCATAGGGTTTGATATAGGGTTATAGCTGAAAAGTGCATATACCAGGGCCTTTGACTATAACGATCTTTTAATAATGTGAGCAATATTTTAATCATACCATTGATGTTTTTTAGAATTAAGGTAATTAAGGTAAATGTTAACATCTTATTTGTTCTGCTACTATAATAGTTTGGGTTTCATTTTAAATAGAATTGATGTTTCAATAATTAATTAATAGTATACTATTAGTAGTATATTATTTCTAATCAATTAAAAGTATTCCCAATTAATCATTTAATGAAATATAAGGCTACATGAAATAGCAAGTGACTACCAATATTTTTTAAAAAAACATTCTTCTCTTATATAAAGGAAGAATACCTTATCTAAATTATTTAATTTGATACATGATTGTAACATCTAAAATATAATGTTACTTCAGAAATATTGTGGCTATAAATTTCACGATAATAAAATATGTAAAACTGAGCAAACATTCTTTAGACAGATTGTCATCCTAATGTTAAAGTAATTTCATCTGAGAATAATATTTGTATTCTAATTCCATTGTAACTCATAATAATGTTTTTATTTGTTTTTATAACCAAGGATAACCCATATGTTTCAATGGTTAAAAATGGATGGCTTGTTTTTCAATTTTTATAATTACAGTTTTGTGAATATTTAGACACTCTTCCTTATTATTTAATGAAATATATATTAGCAGCTTGGTGTGAAGTATTTTTATCATATTTATCTTACAGGATTCCAAATGTTTAGTATTCATTTTTGTTGTTTCCTCTTTCAGCAACAGGAGATAAACCAACATTTATTTATTTATGACATGCTGCTTTTTAGTAAGCAACATCTATATTTTGACATTATGTTTTTAATACAACTATATCCATATATGAAATCATTTTGTACTCAGTTATTGTGCTATCATAAATGCAGCATGTTTAAAGCAATAGTTTGCCAGGGAGCAGAGCTGATTAAGGTATTATATATTAGAATTGTGTAGAATATTCAAAAGACATTATTTGAAATCATATTTTTATAATTGAAGAATTTTCCTTGAGATCATTAAAATAGCCATGTCCTTTTACAGGGCTCATGCAATTGCTTTGAAAGCTTATTTCTGTATGAGTATGCATCTGTAATTGCTTTGCTTTATTAGTGCTTTCAGAAGACGGGGGTGTCTTGATCCTCCTACCTTAAATATATTTATTTGGAGTTATTGTTATAACTCCACTTTAGTCTACTTTCCTTGTGTTGGTCTAGTAGCAAAGTTAGAAATAAGGAATCATAAATGTTTGATTACAAACTAAGAAACATTAACTGACAGGACAGTTAGTGCAAGATAGTGGAATCAAATACATAAATGTTGGATTATATTAGAATCAGCACTGTTTTAGAAAAAAAGATGGCCATCAAATCCTACCTTATTTTAAACCTGAATATTGGAGAAAATATGCTTCACTATTCCTCTAGTTCAGTGCTTTTCTCTTTCCTTGTGTCCTTGATTTCCCTGTTTTGTTGCAATGTTAATGAAAGCACACTAATAAAAGGAAGGAAAAAATATAGCTTATTATCCATTCAAATATGTATCAACTTAATGAATGGAACAAATAGTCTTGTGAATTAAGGTTGCATTAATAAGATTATCACTTTATGAAAAAAGGTGCAATTTCAGTACTATAGTATAGATGGTGTGCCTATTAAAGCCATACTGTATGCTAACTGTGGGATATAAGAAACCTGTGACCTCCCAGATGCTGCTTGACTCCAATTCCATCAGCCTCACTGAGGGTAGCCAATAATTAGGTATGATTGATATTGTAACTGAACAAATTCTGGTTCCACCTTTAATATACTATTCTTAATATATTGGATCTCATTTTAAGTTATTATGAGAAAATATAATTTTAAAATAAAAAGTGGAAAGTACTACAGGTCAGTAATGAATGAAACTAGGAGTATATTGAAAGAATTAGTTAATATCAATATTTGAAATTTAGTTCCAATACAATGTTATTGTTTGCTGGTGAATGAGTACTCTGGCCATAACTGTACTTCCTTGAAATGTTGTTATCTTCCCTCTTCCTTCTGACATCTCTATTCTGTAAGATGTCTTAAATCTCTTATTTGTTATCATTTTTCTTCATTTTGCGTGCTCTTCCAACAAATTTTATGAGAGAAGGAGAAAGAAGAAAATTGACCATTGGTGTGGTATACATGCAGTTACCAAAATTGGGGTGCGGGGAATAACAATAATGGGCAATAAATGGAAGTAGCACTAAATTTTTATCGGTAGCATTAATATGTCTTTTCTCCTTTACCCGAACATACATACAGATCTTCTCAGACAGTTTTTTTCACCTGTGCTTTTACTCTCATAAATTCTAAAGCTTTGCCTTCTCAAATCATTATCTGCCATTTTCATTTTCTTTGTGACCAAATAAATTTCCATCAAGTTTTTGAAACATCACTTTTTACCTTTTTCTCCTGGTTATAATCTCTTATAGCATATATGCAGAAAAGGACACTAGAACAGGAAAATAGAATTCATATCCGTTAGAATAGTACAAAAGTTGTACTATTTATGTATTTATGGAATTGTGATTGTTGTGGAAATTTTACCAGGTCTTATATGTTTTGGTAATGTTTTCCTTATTATATAAAAAATAAATAGTTTTCTGTTCTGCTGATAATTTATCAAATTTAAAATTATTTAAATTTATCAAACTATATCAAAATTTAGTTATTTTCTTTAGCATTGAGATGAATAGATATTAAATTTTCTAAAATTATAATGTTAAATATTATCAGAGTGCTTCATACTTGAACTATTAAATGAAATAAACCATATAGTGTCTTTGGGAAGATATCCCCTAGAGGTTTTCAAAAGAATATACATATCTCTTTAGCACTTCTGTATGTAGTATGACTTTTCTTTTAAAGAGAAAGAGCTTTCCAATTGTTATTCCAGTCCATAATGGTAGATTTACTATCAATGTTTCCTCTTCCCCAGTCTCTGTACTGATTTTAACAGAAATGTTATAGTGCTGACATTTGATTGTTTTAATTGTGATCTTTACCTCTAAAGTAATTGGTACTTTTTTTTACCGTAAACTGAACTTTTTACAACTTTTTATTGTAACTGGATTTTTAAAGTGACATGGGTCAAGCTCAGAGCTTCTCTGTATGCTACAGAATAACATTTGCATAAATCAAGAAATACTTTTACATAACAATAACCAGAGAAACTGAGATACTTACAGTTTGGGTATGTTGATAAATTTATAAATATTATTTATTATATTATTTGACGTTAAATCTATTTTGTTGTTGCTATTTCTAATATGTTGAAAAGCTTGAAATATGCAAGAATTATCTTACATTATAAACAAAATTTTAAAAAACCTTTGTCTTGAAAGTTGATTTATGGCTTTCTCATTAGAGTTATATTAGATTGGTAACTGAGACTTTCCCATATTAGAAAGTGCTATGTGAAATCAATTCTTGTTCATTATAATATGATTTTAAATTGTGTAGCTTACAATTAATATTGACGTAAGTTCATTTTAAGCACTAATTCTAGTATTACTTAAATTTGATTTCAATGTATACATATTATATAATGCATTTATTATATAATATAGAAATCTAAATGTATATTTTAATTGTGTAAGATAAAAGATGTAGTATTGTGGCAAAAATATAATATCAGAAGGCAAGCATTACTTTTCCAAGCATATGGTAACAGAATTGGTTATTCATCTGCTCATTGAACTTGCTGGAATTTGTATTTACTACTCTTTAGTCCCAAGAAACAATTATTGGAGAAATATTCATAGTAGCAGTGTATTTTTTTTTTATTTTGTGAGTCTACCATCTTAATTTTAAGCCATTAATTTGTTTTACATGTGTATGCATGCATACTTGCATGCATTACTTATTGCTTGATTGGCATTAAATTCCATTAAGTTCCAATGAGGAAGATAAAATTTAGTTTTTCAGGCTTTTTCTATTTAATTTTATATTACATTACATTTGTTTATTTATTTTTTTTGACTGTTTGGTCTAAGGCTTGTTGAGGTTGATTTGCTCCTGAACTGCTTTGTTCCCAGACATTGCCATCATCCCCAACTACCACCAAGTCCTCTCCATCTGATCCCATGACCACCTCCAGAGCTAATCAGGTATAGTATCATTCTATCATCTACACCATATTTTTCACAAGTGGCTTGCAAACTGGAGAAAAAGATATGGTGGGTTGAGGTTTTATTTATTCATTTACACCCATAATCATGAATATTGAATGCTGTTGCTCAAATAATATCATTTTAGCCTGATAAATAACTCAGATTCATTTTTATCAACATGGCATGTGCCTCTTATGAGGTTGCAATTTCATTGCTTATATTCACATTTTATTTCTTCCGAGCAGCAACTTTTGGGATTGCATTAGAGATGCTAAATATCTCTGAAGCATCCAGAGTGTAAATAAAATGCAACGTGAGACTTTTAGGGCTTATGTTTTTTAAGGGGATTTGGTACTTGATAATAATAATTATATAGAATTATTTTTTTAGTAGTAACATTATGTATACAATGGGGCCGGGAGGATGAAAAAAACCTCATTTTTAAAAAAAGCAAATTTAAAGTCTCAAATTTTAATAGGTTTTTGACACCTTCAAAAAACTTGTTTTGTTTTTATAATTAAAGTAAAAGATGATGTAAAAATTTCAACTGTGAAGTTGTGATACCTTTTATTGTAGGTCTTATAATTAATATTTATCTTTCTTTAAAGTAGATTAAATTTTCTTCTTTTGCTAAACAAGAAAGCTGTGATTCCAGATTTTCATAATATGGAAAATTGGAAGGTCTATTGTGTTTCTTAAGGTGGAAGCTTGAATGAGGAAAGTGAAATTAAATCTGTATTTGCTTTTCTACTTATGCAAATGGAAAAGTAAGATAAGTGCAATAAAACTGCTTTTAAGAGATAACTTAAATAAATGTCGGCAATAGAATAGATACTGTTCCATTCCTTGTCCTTTATGTCAAACTTGTGATGTATTTCTATGGTTCCCTGGTGTCTAATTCTAAGGAAGCATTAGATACTGTGAAACAATCCCTAGGGTTCATTGCTTGAAGGTGAATAAACTGAAATTAAATCCAAGCAAGATAGAAGTACTATTAGTATAAGGTGTTTTTTTAAAAAAAATTGTTTTGTTTTCTGGAAGGAATTCTGTTTGAAATAACATATCTCTGTGCTGGGAATTCTTAATCCTAACCTGTGTCTGGGTTTCTAGATGCCAACAGTGACAAATTATGTTTATGTGTCAGTTGGATTCATTTTTCAACTAGTCTAAGCTGGCAACAGTTATCCATGCCTTGTAACATCACAACTAGATTTCTGCGGTGCACCCATTTATACAATAGGAATTGCTGTATTACTCAGAAATGCAATATCAGAACAAAATAGGCAATTATGTCTATTTTAAGTAACTAGAAAGCTATGTATTGGTTACAAGTTATTTTTTTCAGGACACAAATTAAAGTGTACTTCTATCTTTTATAATTATAGATTTAAGATCTCACTGCAAGAAGGATTATGTCTGTTTTTATGAAACTTTCTAGAGGTGAACTCCATCTGAAGATACTCTTTCCTATATCACTCCTAAACTATAGAACTTCATCTTTAGAAATGGGTTTGGTTTACCTCTCTTCACCCTTGGTTTTGAGGACACATTTCTTTAAATAAAATGTTTTCATTAATATTGTACTATTTATATCCTTTTAGTTATGTTTAAATTGCATTTAAAAAGAATAGTTGAGTTTTTTTCTTCTTCTTGCTGCTAGCACCCCAAGAATTTTTTTTCAGTTTGAAAGATGGGATATACAGGTAGTCTTCATTTAACTTCTACTCTTTCATCAACCATTTGAACTTACAGTAGTGCTAAAGAGGACCGGCCCTGATAGTCGCGCCATTATAGTGTCCCCACAGTTAGGTAATTGCAATTCAGACACTTGGCACTTAGTTTGCAGTGATGCTATTAAAGCAGTGTTTTTCAACCACTGTGCCGTGGCACACTAGTGTGCCGTGACATAGTGTAAGGTGTGC